GGCAGCACTTACAGCGTTGCTTTGGTTGCAGTACATGAATAACAGTGTTACATCCAGTTATATATTTTACATATTTTAACTTTGACAGTATTGTTATCCTGGGCGACAGAAACAAAACGTCTAATAAGAAAAACATCGATCACAAAACATCGATGTTAAAAAAGATCGGTGTTAATACATCGATGTTTCGAAAACCTCGTTGTCGCATCGTTGTCGCATGCCTTATTCCAACGTAGCTTCATCTCCTCCGGGTGCCGCGCCGTGGCCGCGGCTGGCAGCCGCTTCGCGCGTCCGAAACTCGCTGAAACCCGGTACGCGGAACACGCGCGGGACCTTGGAAAGTCACACCGCTTCAGCTGGCACCGCCGCTGGCCCCGCCGCCGGCGCCTCGTCTGCTAGCATCTTGCCTCGAGCTGTACGCCTCCCACGTTCTCTTTCGACACCTGCATGCTAAAAGAAATACGGCGAAACTCAGCTCTGTTGGACATGTTTGGTGCTCTTTATCTAATCTTCCCATTATCATGCTATGTACTACCTGCCCCAATTTCTTGATCAGCAGGCAAAGCAGTGGGAATATTTGAAAATCCATTAAAAAAAACCTTCTTTTTCCTTCCATTTGCAAAGAACCTTTTCACCTTAGGAGCCTCAGGGCTGTCCAACCTCCAGAAATAGAAGGGTGTACAGAATTGACTCCACCGTACCCAGATGTCCAAGTTACGGACGGTCAAGTTGACATGGTTTACTGGATTTGTGATGCGCTGAAGATGCAGGTGAATCAAAGAGAAATTGTTAAAATTAAATGTATGACGTCAGTTGGAGTGAAGTGCATATCTGCGAGGCCAATCGCCGTTTCCCTACATTAAGAGATCCGGCTACCTCACGTTACCCCTTGTGCTATAAATGAGATGAATATTTGATAAGGTACACTGTATCAACCATCTATAGTTTTCTGAGTCAACACTTCAGTTATATTAACTCCTTAACTAATTCTTTCGTTTCTTGGTTATAATGTGATTTCCTCTTTCAGAAAGATCTAGCCACAAAACGGTCTCAATAATGCTATTATGTTACAAAATATAGCTTTCATTTTCTTCTTATTCCCTTACCAGTCTAATCTTGAAAATGATGAAATGTTTCTTTTTAAATGTGGCTATTGATTATTTTTAAATGCTAATAGTTGATTCGACAAAAGACCCAATTTAACGAATTTTAATAACACATTAAGTACAAAGACTTTCCAGATTTTTTCAAATGAACAAGTATTTACCGATGTTTCAAAAGTTAATAGAATAAAAATGAATCAAAGAGAATCTTAAAATAAATATGAAAACATTAAAATTTAATAGATTAATCATCACCGTATTTGAACTATCTCGACGCTACCAGATGCCCGAAATTCTCTTCGGAGCACCGGCACTGAGATTCTCGTTACTAGTTCTTAGAATTGTGTTACTATTGGTTCTGCGGATACTAAGTAATTCTCCACTTTTTTCACATTTCTTTTTAATGTTTTCGCAAATTTTGCTTGCACTACGTCATTATTATCCATCTCGTTGCGATCTATAATTTAATATTCAAATGAAATACATTTCCGGAATACGACAGTATAAGGGTACGTGACTATATAAATTGTGTATGCCCGTATTTTGGCCGTCCAACCGAGTTGCAGACGTGTGCTATCTTCGTTATGTTAGAGGGGCCGCCGAGCGCCGAGCGCCCTCCGCCTCCGCCTCCGCGCCGCGAGAGCCGAGGAGCGTCCAGGGCAGCGGCTTGCTGGCGCAGCGGGCGTTTCGCTCCTAAATGGGCAGCGGCGGCGCCGCCAGCCGGCGAGGAAGTGCCGAACATGGTCGCGGAGCGGAGGAGGCGCTTCCGTGTTGTTCTCGCGTTACGGTATTCGGTGAGCTAATGCAAATGTACGTCGTAGTCCTGTCAAAAACCACTCAAAAGGCACTCCATGAAATTACCGGCGCCATCGAGTGGTAGCTTCTCACTTTTAAGGGCGTAGGGCGATCAACAAGTTATCTACCTGAGCATGAATATGAAATTTTATTTTGAAAATCACCTAATTCCTTTTCAATGCAGTGCCCAGTGGTCGAATACCCTCAAAAAAGGAGGCGCTGACGGGTGGCGTACAGCTCGACGAACGATGCAGAGAAGGCGCCAGCGGCAGTGCCAGCGCAGATGCCCCATTGCAGCTTCCTTAACTGATCCAGCGTCAGGAAATTGTCGTCCACGAGGAATTGTTTCCTGTTTCGAAACCGGAAGGAGACGCTGGGAGCCGGATCTAGACTATATGGATTGTACGAAGCCACACGATCCAAATTTCAGTGTCAGTGTCCACTGATTTTCTCACGATGTTCCAAATCTCTAGTTTTCTCTGTTGACCCGCACGGCACTGCATTTTGCCATCACAAGCTTACGGCAGACTCACTCAGCTCTTCTCCAACAATGCCGTACGATACCGAGGCAGGAAACATACTGAACGTCCCTCGTATTAGTGTGATCTAGATTTCATTTGATTTTTTACTTCTCATAACTGCTTAATTCATATAACATGCTGATCGGCACACATTGCTGGACACTACGCCATTCGTGGCATTTCATGCACAGGTGCAGAGCAACATTTGCACTAGCATCGACAAGGAAGACCCATGATACTCCCTGTCCTAGAGCTGGCTAAAACGCATTCTATTATCGATCGTTCCCGCTGTCGTAGTCTCGGAGGGCGCGCGCTCCTTATCTGCTAGTGAAACTCTGTCAAGGCTTGAAAGTAGGCAGAACCGCTCATTCTCGGCTTGTCTCGATCGTATTGACAGAGCGTGTCCCATGAGCATTTTCAATGCTTGTGAGATGCAACACGAGCTCTATTACAAATGAGACTCTACAAAACTAATATAGCAAATCGAAGTTACATATTAGCAGCGAATTATCCTGTTTCCAAACGAATTGAAACTTAAAAATTATACTACTTCCGAGCTGGTGCAGTTGCAATTACACATTTATGCAGAGGTTTGCAACTACCCTTGGAAGATCTCATGTTAATTCAGTTTTTGTTGCAGCGCATTCCTTACCCATTTGTACCCTACTTCAGTTACCCCTCTACTGAGAGTGAAATAAATAATAGGGTTATGATGTTCAATACAGTCATAGATTTTGCCACTGCTTCGCACCAGATGAAGCGTGGATGAAGCAAATTAATGTGATTTCCGAATGCTAAGCGAATTATTTGTATACTGGAAAAAAAATTTTTTGAAAATTATTCGTGCAGTACAACGCAACTTCCATCTGCATTAGAGCAACCATGTTAGTTATTTTTATTTATTTAACGTCAGAAATAGTCAAAAACTGATATCTGTTCACGCACGAACTCGTGTTGAAAATGAAAGTGTAGAATGAAAATAAAGGGGAAAAATGAAGTTTGAGGTATGCCAATATCGAATCATTTTATTACTATGGGGTTGATAGTTTGCCGAAATATATTCGAGATTATCGACAAAGAATACACGTGCCGATAGATCGCTTATTCAATATTCGACCTCGAGGGCCCCTAGGAAAAATAAATCATATATCGTATCATTCGAGAGGTAAGGCCACCTGGCCGCCTCGTCTCCATGAACATCCCTTATAAATGATATCGAGAAATCCTATGAAGCCTTCATCTTTCGTTATCCATTGTCAACGTTTCGTTACCGGATGCGGAGGGAAAATCGGTATTGTTCGTTCATTGACGCAACTAACATTCTCGAATGTAGCGGTTTCGGTGGGCTGGTCTCGGCACTGTCTTTTTGTCCGACTATACCCTGACTCCTCTCACTAGGTTTCTTCCTTGGAAAATAAAACGATCAGTTAAGCCGCCGAATTTCTTGGGCCACATTGACCAGGCAGTTCCCACATGCCGCTTCCACGACAAGTGATAACTTGCGGGGCGTTCCAGTGCCGCCCGCGCTGCGCTTAAAGCCCAACCAGGTTGAAGAACTCGGGAAAATAAGCCTAGGAGAAAACGCGCATTTCAAATCATTAAGTCGAATCCAGTACAAGAAAAATGCGAAACTCACTAAAAAAGGGCGAAACGACACTTGACCGTCTCCATCGGGCGAGCCGTCACAGGCAACCGCCGCAGGCCGGGCGACCTTCTCTTGTGGCGACTCCAAATCCGTCGCCAGGCGCTGCTTTGCAGCCGCACGCTCCGACAGTCCTTTTACGCGCGGCCCTGGCGGTGGCACAAGCGACGCTGATTTGTGGCTCGCGAAACGGCGGCTACGCTACGCCCAACGAGCTCTGAAAATACCTGTGTGAATGCGTGCCTTGTACAAAATTCAACGTGTTTACTCCTAAGGAAATTGTGAGTTATGTACTGTAAATTTAAGATTATCGTATAAAATGTCCTAAAACTACCTTCCCACCCTCGGAAATAGTTTTCTAAAATCAAATGCAGATCATTCAAAAGTGCGCGCATTAAATCCTTATACAGAATTGGAGTAATCTGTGTCCATTCGTCCGACAGTCTGGCAATTACGCTAGTTTCCGGCACTGTAGCTAAACGTTTTTGTCTGGAGTGGAGTTCGAACTCGCGCCCTCATAGAACAACAGAATGCCACGAAGCTCAGGTCCGGGCAATGTTTCCTTGGCGTCTGGCGCCGTAGGCCGCGCGGCCATCCTGACAACAGCAGATACAAACCTCAGAATAACACACATAAAAACATTTTTATATTGCAAACAGTTAATGTAGATAAAATTGTCAAGAGTGGGATTCGAACCCACGCCCTCAAAGAGGATCAGAATGCTGCGAAGCCCGAATTGCTGGCAAGATTTCCCTTGAGTCTGGCGCCTTACTCCGCTCGGCCAAGCTGGCTACCACTGCATCTTGCACTGATTTTTCTCCACACTTCGCGCAGAAGTTAAAAGGAAAATTCAAAAATGCATTTTTCTGTAATTTATATGAACGCAACGTTTACGAATTTTTAATAAATAAGGTAATAATTGATTTTTTTCCCTTTCAGGACAGGGGAAGGAAGAAGAAATGGACGCGAGCTCAGTGAAACATGGGTGAGTAAATTAATAGTTAGCTACTACCTACTTCTGACAGTTTCATTTAATTGTTGTTTGGCTTGCAGCCGCCCGTTCGCCGGCGCGCTCGCGTGCATTGACGCCAGCCCGGGCTCGACGTTTGCTCAGGCAAGATTACAGTGTATGGCGCTGTATGACGATGAAGCAATTCACATCTCAGTTTGAGAAGACCAATATTCGGCGTGGGGGTGTCATAGTGCGAACCACACGTACCCCAATACTACCCGGTGCGAGGCCGGGGCCCGGTCCGCCGCGCCGAGAACAAACACGCAACTCAACATTAAAAAGCCAATCATTTTGTGAATATAAAGAATAATTATGGTCTGAATATCATTGTGTTCCGTGTTAAAGTGTATTCCAATAGAATGAAGTATATACAAGCCCTGTAAATAGATATAATTAAAATCCCTTGAAATGTTCATGTATTTTATGGGCCGCACAACTATTGACAGGCTTTAAAATAAGGACACGCTAAGAACATGATAGGAATTTCTTTATTAGCTTGTAAGAATTCCTTCAGCTCGTTTTGCCCAGTCTTAATATTAAACATGTTATAAGTGTTAAATAAGGGATTACATATATTTTCGGTTCCCCACATGAAAACCTGACTAATCCAGTTACTATGCTATAAATGATTGAATGCTATATATTGATTGAACTGGTTCCCCATCAGATAGTTAGCATTACACGGCGCTGCACAGCATAAATTGTCTTGGAGTTATTGTTGCTCTAAATATTTTATGTTCTGACGATATCTTACCGTAGTATGCTTCAATGTTTCTATCACAAATTCATATCCCATATGCGATGACATACTGCGATAATTTGTGATTTATTTCTTTCGGAGTGATTTGCGTAAAGGACTGTGCAATACTGAACTCTTGATCCAAATTTTGAGATACTGGCGAACGAGCAGAGGTCAAAACACTTGCCGAACAATGCAAACTGACGTATAAAACTAATTTTGCAATGAAACAGGCGAAAAGTCGTTTTTCTCATTAATACAATTTTGGAAAAATAGTTGTTCTAGTCGTCGGTTTAAATTTAATATGCGTATTAAGTAATTAATATGCGTATTAAGTAAAACTATTATTTTTTTTCTCTGCAATTTAAATACCTATTCTTCATACAATATTTACACAATGAAAAACAAAATGTAATGTTATGTTGTAATTAAATGTGAAATGTAATGTTATTTAAATGAATTGTTCATTAAAGTACCTTAATTTTTGTTTTTGATTGCATCAATATTTTCTCGAAGTTTTGGACATATATTAAATACTTAAGTTAAGTATTATTCTCATGCTCGTTGATCAAACTGAATCTCAGTTAAAGAAATTGTCGCAGTAATTAATCATGATAATTTCTTTAAAATAATCACTTATCTATCATAAACCATGACTTGTTTACCTTAGGCTGTAAATATCATATCTTTGTCGATTCATCTAGTTTTTAAGTATAACCCATTTTTAATTAGTACTTTTCTGACAGTGCTTGTTGGAGTATATGTTGCAACAGATTTGGTAGGCAAAATGATTTAATACTGTTCTGAATGGATTTTTCTCGATAATTGCCTTTTAATATTGTAAAAAAAAATATCAAAGAAATCTTTCAGACCACAGTTACGCCCATTGCAGGCACTTTTCAATTGTCTATTTTTTTTATTGTGAGGTTAAAAAAATATTTTTGGAAGTTCAAGGATGTGCATGCAACGCAAAGCCATCCATTTCTGTTCTGTTGTAAAGCTATTTTGTTTTTACGTCACATTCTGCTCTTTCATGATTTAGGTTAATTCTACCCAAGTTTGCTATTTTAATGTAAATGTAAATATATTTGTTCACAAATCACCCTTCTTTGTAATACTTATATTTTCATCGTAATCTTTACTAATCTTCTAAACTGAAAGATTCCGTAAACGTCCTGACACTAGAGTTCTTGCATTTCACCTAGGTGCTAAGGCTGCGATTTACAACATGCAGGTTAAATGCCTTGACCCCCTGTTGGCGTCGGGTTAACAACAGGCACGTCGAGATAATTTATACTCCTCCTAAAGTTCTTTGGAGATTTACACATTAATTTGTAATAGATTCTTTTCACTGCAGAATTACTTACTCCAGGACTACATAAGATTTAAGAATGCGAGAATGTGTTAATAAATTTGAATGTAACTTAAGTGATGCTTTGAAGTGTGATTTAATTGATAGCTACTAATTGCGTGCTTTTTTCTGAATACTTGATCTGGTAGAGTGTTTGTTCATCACGAAATAAGAAATATGGAGAATAAGAAGTTTACTTTGATACTTCTCGAAAGTGCTTTTGTGATATGAAAACATATAAATGTATAATTATGAAGGTAGACTTAGAGAAGCTATTTTAATGAGATAATATTTTTGTTTTTATTCTGAGGGACATTTTACAGTATCTAAAATTTCATATTTGATTCTTCGAATATTTGTTGGTCCAAAGTATGTGGTCATTCCATTAAATCTTTAACTAGTTTTGGAGGATTTACAATATTTGTATTATAATTCCAAGCAATTACATTGCACAAATTACTATAAAATTAATAAGATCTTCTTATAAATGACCTTGTCTGAGCGCACCCCGAGACGGAGACGGCCCCTCCTCTCAACCGCGCCCCTAGCCACGCGCGGGTGGGGCGGGTGGCGCGTGGTGCGTGGGCGGGCGGTGACCGCGGTGTGTGCGCAGGCGCGTGCGGACGCTGCCCGTGGTGCGGCGCGGCCTGAAGGACCTGCGCTGCTGCGACGGCGACGCCGTCACGCTGGAGTGCCGCGTGGCCGCCACGCCGCAGCCACACGTGCGCTGGGAGAAGGGCGGTCGGGTGAGTGCAGGCTGCAGCTGCGGCCCCGCAAGCCGCGTCGCCTCTGCACACTCGTTGCCTGTGCACATGTTCAGATGAATGGGCTACAAACTGTACAATAAGGAGTCCAGCTCGCCACTTGTTTGTAAATACTTCTGGTTATGACACATTAATACACTTATGACACACTTAGAATGACAAATTTGTCACCGACTTTGAGAAAATGTTTCTGGAGAGCATTTTGATAATATTATTTACAGAAGCTTTTCTTCTAGTGACATTCAAACCTGTCTTAGTACGTTCTAAATTTGATAATAGAGTGGTCGAATCTGTCACAACGTAACTTTCACCAAAAATGACAGAACCGTGATACTCTCAGGCCGCAATTATGTGAGGTGGTATTGTTCTCTGTTCAGCTATGAGAGACCACAGCTCAGGAGATGCGATTTTTCCTCGAACGTGCGCTCTCCAAATAGCTGATGGACGTGAAGTTTTCAGAGTAAACCGATTCAATAGGGAGAGAAAGAATTGGGGCCTTGACGTCTTCCGATATAATTGAATTCAACACTTTTCCGTACGAAAGGGTCAGTTAGTGAGTCATTAAACACAATAGTGGAATTTTTAAGTTGAGCATGCTACGATTCACTCTGGCCAACTCTCTTCCCACTCGCCATTAGATATTGCTCTTTTCTCGTAAGGGAGGAGGGATTTTGAACTTCTTTTCTTGCATCTCTGATTTCCACGTGTCCTCCAAACATTGCAAGAGGGGTGTCTTAGAACTGTATTAGTGTAAACAGTAAGTTATATTATTTTTTAGTTATCGTAAGAAAGAGTAAAAAGCACGTGATGTGTGGGGTAAAAGTAGTAGAGACAAACCTCTTTCAATTAATTGTAATTGATTCGATCGAAATATAAACAAATTTCTATTAATTGATTCATTGTTTCGTAAGTAGCCAATATATAAACAAATAGAATATATATACACAACAGGGGGTTATATAAACAAATAAAATATAATATAAAACTGAAATAATTTTCATCAATGCGTCTTTCGTCATTAATTTTTATGTCATATTGAAGTGCAAGACTTAGACAACTCTAATAATATGAATACCGTGAAGACGGCAAACAAGGTGAACAAGGAAATAAATTACTTGCCTGTTAAAAAAAATGATATCATCTAAGTTTAAAAAAACAACAACACATTTCATACCAAATTATAATGCCATTTAAGTTTAATACATATTCAATTGTAAGCCATATTTTTTGACGAAATACTTTAACATTTGGTTGTAATTTTCTGAAATGTGTAAAAAAATGTGCAATGAAAATGGAGGTACTTTTTAGTTTTTTTTATTGAAGCGTTGTTTTTTCTGCTATTGCCTTCCATATGGAGCACCATGTACTCTGCAGAACTTGCCTGGATCGAGGGGATCGTGGTTACGAGAGAAATAAAAACAAGTGAATGATGCTACACTGTTTTCTAAATTACTTCAAGTTTTACAAGGAGATGCACGAATCACTGTTGTAATCCATTTTATTGCGGATTTATCAAAGGCGGAAAGTGAATTTCGAGATTCCTTTTCGAAGCCAACGCCTATATGTCGTTAAGGCACAAGCTTGTAACAAAATCAATGCTTCGTGAGTGCGCTCCACTCAAACGAGTAGCCGCATCGTGCGTACAAGCGGTGGGATTTCGTAAGTATAATTTCCAACTGTACGAACACCGATCGGATGTACGAAAACTCGGACAAAATTATTACAAAAAACCTGTTAACAAAATCGTATGAAACGTAGATGAGAAACGTAATTGTAGGGCGTGTGAAAACATTGTGTCTATCAAAAATTGCACTTAGACCTATTTCATTTAAAGTTTATTTAATTTAGAAAAAGCAGTTCATTGTATGAACGAAAGCAATATGTTTGTAATAATGGTAGTGATTAATGTGTAAAATGTGTTATTTTTACTTTCCCGTATACAGACGTATATACGATGTATTATACGCAGTATTGAGAAACTTATACAATGCTGCCGAAAATGGATTTCGAGATTTCGACGGAAATACACGTTTTGGGGTCCCCTAATACCGAAAAAGTGTTTTTTTCAAAACGTCCGTCTATCCGTCCGTCCGTCCGTCCGACCGACCGACCGTCCGTCTGTCCGTCTGTCCAGCTGTCCGTCCGGTCTTCCGTCAGGTGACTGTGAACACCACTAGCACCTAAACCATGAGAAGGATTTCGTGCAAATTGAAGAAACTCCTTTCCGGGAGGCTCGAGTCGAATCTTGTATTGTGTGTTAAAGAACATAAATTGTTTTTGTGAGTTAAAGTTCTACAAATGACTTGAAATTAGGTTTTTCGAATACTCAAACATTTTTTGTGAAAAAGAGCTTCAAATTTCGAATTTACAGTAGCGCTTAAACGTAAGTTTTTTAAAACGACACCAAATGTTTCAAAGAATATTGCCACTAAGACGATTTTGTACTGATCTTTTATATTCTTTAAATAATATTTACATTTACTGTTACGAAACCGAAAAAATAAGAACATTTCAATTACTTTGGGCGGTGATAGATGAGAGGAAGCAAGAGTATGCGGCAAGTTCGAATAGCTAGCCGAGACCATAGAAAATAGAAAAATAATACGGGAAAGTGTGCCATTCTGTAGCACCACTAGTTATTTATACTGATAGTCATTTCAGGTAGAAATGTTTTCTGTGCTGTCGCGCTAAAGAGAGTTTTCTGGTAGTTTTCCATCTGTCAGCCGAAGAGGTGAAATAAGTACGCAGTGTGAGCATGGATATTTCTTCACGAGCCCACGCAACCTGCCTCTTAAATGAAGTTTGCTTTCTAGTCATATATTTGTACGGGTCAGGAATACGTAATGTGGACCGAAGTGCGTTGAAACACTGTAATGAGGCCTTTGAACGAGAATTGTAATGATCCTCCAGATCACATGCATCTTGACACATTAAGATACCTTGGGTGTTGTGCGTATTATAACATGGAACTTTTGTCTGTTCATTTAATTTTAATGTTTTAGTTGCGAAATGAAGATAATAAACACATTGAAACATTTAGTGTCACCCCAACTACATGTTATAGAATAATCGCCATCAGTTTTCCTTATGATGATGCATTTTCTTAAATTTACAAATGCGGGAAATAAATAATAAAAATCATAAAAGGGAATACTTTAAAATCCTAGATTGATTGAATTGTAAACTTCAATTTGTCTCTGAAGAATGTGTTGACCCTTCGCGACTCATCCTATTCCTCACTCCTCTCTACCTTCGCTCTCTTGATGTACTTCATTAATGTCATTTCTTATGACGGCGCTGAAAATGGACCCTCAATATCCCCAGTCAATGAGTCGATTCGCCCCCTCCCCGCGACCCCCCGGGGAGAATCGCCAAGTCGCACCCTGATCGATACTATACTTCGAATCGCATCAACCCTCAGCGTGAATAGGGGGTTTAAGCACGGCAGCAAGCGACTGCCGTTTGGAGCCTTTGGCACGCGCCAACTCAAAATTGAATTCGAAGAGAAGGCGGAGCCGCTAATCCGCCGGATTTACGTCACTATAGTTACTTACTTTTGTGAGTCCTCTTTCTTCGGTGAGTTGATGTTGTGCGCTTGTTGCTTGATGGAATTCACTGTTCAAATCTGTAGGCCTATCTTCTGCAGTTTGGAGGTTCTCCGTTGACGGAATGACGAAGCTGTTGTTGTAGAATTTGGTTTTGGTGTTCTAATTTGTTAAGATGTTCTTGAAGAAGATGATTTTGATGTAGAAGTTGTTGATACTGTTGTTGAAGATCTGCTATTTGGTTTTCTTGTGAGACTTGTGAATTAGTTTGTCTTATGTATAATTCACAATTTCCATCATTATTTAATAGTTCGATGGATCTGCTGATGTGTCCTCCTAGGTAATCCTATTCCGTTAACATTTTGAGCACTTTATCGTATTGTTTTGTTGCACTATTCACTGTGACATTAACTATTTTTAGTTCTGTTATGACACTATATAAACACACTTGGTGATTTTGTCTCTGTGGCGGTGCACTATTGTCTATTTGTTTATATTGTAGTTTTGCCGCAATGCGGCAAAACGATCGTTGACTACGCCTATTCACACGCGTTA